TCGTCGACGATAGCTTCATGGATAACGTTTTAAACATCAGGGGTACCTCGTGGATCACCCCGTTATGCTCTTAGATCCACCAATCTCATCTCATTTCATTTCATTTCATCTCATCTTATCTCATCTTATCTCATCTCATTTTATTTTATTTCATTTCATTTCATTTCATTTCATTTCATTTCATTTCATTTCATCTCACCTCATCTAATCTCACACACGCACTTACGCACGTAACAAAAAGCAACACAACGATCTTGCGACTTATAAACGGCAGCACGTCGTCGCCGTCCCTGTTTCCACTGTCTCCCTCTGGCTCCCCGCGCCGCTCTCTTTATATTCCTCTCACCCTCGCAAAGTTCTCCCTCTTTCTCTCGGATATGATCTCCCTATCTCCCTTTCCCCAAGAGTACGATCGAGCGAACGTCAAACTCTCTGCCTATCTCTCTCACTCCTGCTTTCTATCTACCTCAATTTATCTTTCGTCTTTCCTTCTTTATAGAAAATAAGTTTCTCGAAATTGTCTTTTGTGATGTATATGATCTTAATCACAGATGATCATCATAAATTCAATTCATTGACACATATAGAAAGTAAAATAAAAAAGTTCTGCATATCGCATCTCCGCAAAATTAGACACACGTGAAAAAGTTTGACACTCGAGTTTCATCAAATGAATTCAAACAGGTAGAATAATAGGAACTCTACACGACCATCGTGCACCTCGTCAGAACAATTTTCTATTGACGAACACTAATAACAAGTATACACATTCACTTGTTTGACTGGAGAAAATTCGCGACAACCATTCGCGCGCGCCGTCGTGCGAAAAAACCACCGAGCAGTAGCCGCCGCCGCTTATTCTAACTACGATTGATTGACACTAGGTGGCACTCCAATAGGCACACCTACAATTACAACGCGCGGGTTTATTACGCTTAAATTGATTTTAATCTTCTGATGCGCCGGCTTTAGCTTTATCAAAGACCATTAAAAATACATTAGTTCGATCATGTATAAATCGTTACTTACGTAGCAACAATGATATCGAACTTTTTTTTTAGATCTATAGATATGGAATATTCGAGGTCTTTTTCCGCGTTCTTTTTTTCTTAATTATGCATCGCATCTTTCAAAACTTGTCATATCTTTAGTCGCGTCTCATTTATAAATCTTCTTTATCTTATAAAGATAATCTTTAAATAATGAACAATTAATATTGTAATTATTAATTTTAAAAATGTCGATATAATCGTTGATATATTACGAGAATATAAAAATAGTTTTGATTATGTTAACTTAGGGAGAAAATTCTGCAAATCAGTACACTCCCCTTATGTACACACTTTATATCTAAAAATAAATGCACGCCCTTCGATGAAAGAAAGACTAATCACCTTTACCGCATCCATTAAATCGATCCGTTCTTTTCTCCTTGCTATTAAACTTAAGTCAATTTGGTATAAAACGAACGTGTAAAATAATCTTCAACGCGTGTGTGTTGTCGAGTATAACATTATCAATATTATTACCTTTGAAATTTAATGAAGCTTATAAAAAACACGTTATATGTATTTACATTAGAGCCACAATTACTTTCGAGACACGTGTTTGTTATTGTGTCGATATACATTTGAAAATATATAATTAACTTGTTAGAAAATAAGATTTGGCACTCAATAGAAATATTTTACATTTAGCAATATATACTTGCTAATTACAGAACATTGTATTTATCTAAATGCATATAGATGCTTTTTGGATAGGATTAAAGATATGAAGACTCTTTAGAAATGATCTTATAAATATTTATAATATAATATTAAAATATTATTGTGTGTACTAGTCTTGTAATTATAATAACTAACGTATTAGAAATTGTTATTGAAATATATATATATATATGTATATATATATTTAAGACTAGAATCTGTAAATTTCAAATATTAACTTGCAACATGATTTACCATTCGAACAATTTATGATATTTCTATAATTTATAAATACTTTCTAATCATTTTCTCATATAAAAAGTGTCTTGTAACTGATAGTATAAACAAGCAGAGAATGATTCCTCATGAGAAACTAAATAGAAAATGTAAAATACAATTTATTCATATAAGACTTTGTTTTTAAGAAAAATAAGTTTACAAATTTGTCAAGTACGTGTATATTTAATATAGGGAGTATATTCTTTTCGAGTTTTTCATGCCGAATCATCTTCAGCTCACTTGTAACACCAGTTACAGGATACTCTGTATATGCCTCATAATCTCTTTCTCTCACTCTCTCTCTATTCCATATATATCTATATAAATTTTTTTTTTATTTTAAATAATTTTGTAATTTGTTCTTATATAAAAATTATTTATATAAATTGATGTAACAATAAAATAGTACCTTAAAAAAATATTTTTGATATAGACCAAATATTACCTCACTAATCCAGAAATTTGTTTGAGTACAGACGTCTGAATGTGAAATAATTTCAATTATACGTTCTAAACAACATATATGAGATTAATGTATCGCAACAAATTAATTGCTCTACACACAACATTATCGCGCAAGTATAAAACATATACAAGAATTATTTATTTGGTTAGAAGTCTACAAGATCATCCGCATTTCTATTTACCGGATCTCCCTTCAACAATGCAATGATCATGCTACAAAAGAAATAAGTAAGTTATTATCAAAACAAATAAATTAGTTAAGCAAGAAACTTTGAATATATATATATGAAATATTACTTACCAATAAAGATAAATGAAAAAGAATATTAAATAATATCCAAGATAAATCAAACAATTCCTAGTGTGTCTTTTTAATTCTCCACGATTGTGGATCTCTGTGGGATCATATACACCCATATTTCCACTAGGAACACTGAAATACTCATAGAACAACCATAAAGTCATAGGCAAATTAACCAAAGTTAATATTAATTGGCCATGTATTAATAACAAAAATACCAAAAATGTATGCGTCACTAACTTTGGAGTAACCCACTGCAAAATACAATAAATGATTAGCAACGTTAAATATTAATTATCAATTAAATATAATACAAAAATAAGTTTAAATAATTTCGTGAATTTTATATAATTAACACTTTAAGTGCAGAGAGCGCATAAGGATTGCAATCACTGGAGACGTAATGATTTTTCTGTTAATGTGAACTATTTTGATAAAATAAAAGATAAAAATACAAAAATCTTAAACAAAGGGAGGTTGGCAAAATTGATAAGAGCATATACGCGTTATTAGTTCACACGAATTGTTTTCGATAGACACATATATGAATAGAATCTAAAGGGTTAAAATAATTAATGAGATATAATATTTACCGCATTCAATTTAGAACAACATTGTTGGGCATTTAAATAATCACATTCGAGATCTGATAATGTGATCATCTATAAATATAAATATGTCAAGTAAAATACAGTGAAAGTGTCACAGAGTAAAACAATTATTAAATTAACAACATTAAAAAACATATATTTAAAATGAAATTTAAAAAATTTTAAGGTGAAATCAAATACAGCGCCGGTACAAGTTAGCCATATTGTGAAAATAATACAATCAATAAAAATCCCTAGTAACAACATGAAAATAATAATAATAATAATATATATGTAAATATGTTATTAAAATACAATACGAGTAAGAGTAAATGTGAATTCTAATTGTCATGTGTAACTTATTACAAATAAAAAAAGGATACGAAGTATACTAAAAGAAACAGCACAGATCCGGTATTAATTAATGCGATTGCAAATAATAATGGCTCTGTTATAAAGCCCATTGCCAAAATATATAAATTTAAATGATAAACACTATCATAAATATTGTTTTTTTCTTTGATATATCTCACTCAAGGCTATTTTCTGAACAGAAAGTTTCATAAAGCATGAGGTAGTAACCATCAAGAAATCGAAACTACTTATACGCCACCTTCTGTTGTATCATAGAATTCAAAGCTATACTGTCGATAACGTCGTCATTCATATTCTATTCAAAATAAGAAATAAACAAAAAACTTTGTACGTCTAAGTAAGATGCAAATAAAAAGTTTTAATTTGAGAACATCGTAAGTAAAATAAAATATTAAATTATTTATTCCGTTTGTAACATTTTTATATTTTTAATTAAAATAAGAGAATAATTAATAATAAAAATATTTCTATTTACTTTTAAGATGCACGCGCCAACTTCCAACTTTATTAGTTCATTATTCTTACACACGTGTCGCTGCAGTACGAAATTCTTTTTAGGTTGGAACACTGTTATGTTCTTTCTTATATTCCTTCGGAAGAATATTATTATACAAAAATGGTATGTATTTAATATCCATA